CTGGCTCTCATACTAGCGTAAGTGTTGCATAACGTAAGTGTGGGGCTGCTTCTGCAGCGTCAGAGCTTCCCAAAAGGGCTTAAGTGGGAGGAGAAAAACGTATCCGCTCTGAATCTCGTAACGTAAGTGTGTCGTAACGTAAGTAGGGCAGGCCGCGCCTGCAGCTTTCAGCGAAAGGAGCCTTAGTAGTCAGGGTGCTAGGAACTCTGCTCGCCAAGGGTAGGCTTGGTCTCTAAACTGCAACTGCATAATGAGCCAGGACATAACTATGATGAGATCGTGGTGCCCTGATTCACACATGAGGAGCGCTAGGGCCTCCATGCTATTCCCCTTATTATTGTAGTGCCTAGCTAGAAGAGAAGCTTTCTGCTGTGCAATTTCTGTGGGGAGTGATGAGCACTATCTACTATCAGATCATATAGCTGCACTAGTTGATCATTGGGGGCCTGGAGTTGCTGAGTCTTCTTGGTTTGAATCTTATGCAGAGCAGTCATCTGGTGATACACTGAGTCAAAGTAGCATGAGCCTGCAGCTGCTAACTTCTTGAGTGGGTCATTGGTAAAAGGAGCCTGGCCCTTAAAGACATCGGAGAAAGTGGCGCTACTATCAACAGCTTCAAGGAAGAGCATGCAGAACTGATCTACCAAGTATTGATCTTCCTGGTACAGGACCTTGTATGCAAGTTCTTTGATAGAGTAAGTGCTCCACATAGTTGGGGTCCCTGTGGACTGAAATGCAAATGCATAGCTCTGTCTGACAATGTTGGCCCAGGGGATGAGGTCGATAGTAAGCAGATCTGAGGGCTTGAGATTAAGTTCAGAGATAGTCTCAATAGGGGGCAATCCATAATCCTCAACCAAACAGGCGGGGAGATGTTGATAGGCCTCTGCAAACATTGTAAGGAGCATGCTAGATTCCTGAACATTACAGGTACTAATGGGGTAACTGAGGTTCTGAAAGGTGGGGTGAGGGGTAAGGAAGTAGGAGGGATTGGGCATCTTAAAAACTGTGTAGTCAATAGGCCATGGGAGCCTGTAAAGAGGGTCCTGGCTTGGTGGGTAGAGGATGGCATTGAACCAATCGATCATGTCTGATGGGTAGGGTGGGTACTTACCTAACTGGTTAGAATAGGCCTGAAGGTCCTTGAGAAAAACATCTGGGTCATCGTCAAAAGTGTCTAGCATGGCCCTCTCGTAGGCCAAAAGGAGCACGTTGGGTATGGGGTTATGACCAGCTTGTGTAACTCCATAGTACCTAAGAGCCCATTTCTTGTAGGCCTCACATCCTGAGCAATTACCTGTTCCAAAGGTTGAATCTATTGCACTACAGGAGTTGGAATCGTCAAAGGGAAAAGGACAACAAAAGTGTGGGATTGATCTTTGCTGGAACTGAAACAAGTTCGGCTTTGGATTGTACATGTTGGAGATTGCCGCTATTGTAACAGATACTGCAATCGGAGTTGGTGCCAAGTAGGCACATACAATCGGAGCAAGGGGTAATGATGGAGTTTGTGTCATCCAGGCGTCGGTTGGTAGCCGGGCGGGTGCGATCTCCCTTTGCCGGCCAGGAGTTGTCCTTAGATGGGGAGCTGCTCCATGGAGTATCATTCGCCCAATTAGAGTATCCTCTTCCTTGGGATTTGTTGGAACCTCTACCTCTAGATTTTGGAGCCTCGGAGTCTCTGCTCCAACTATTCCATCCTTTGTGGCTATCGCGGTTTTTACCTCTTCCTCTACCAGTAGCTCTACGATCAGGAGAGGAATCTCTAGGCTTTCCTTTGCCTTTTCCATAATTTTCAGGGTCAATACCATGATCCTCCATTGATTGTTGAACCACCTGTTGGAGGCCTGAGTAAGTCCTAAGGAGACTGGTAGGGTTGTGTAATGTTTCCAAGAGTTCTGGTCCTAAATCCATGGGGCAGATTTCATAGTGGAAAAAGGAGACAGCTTCTTGGGAGGAGACATTTGACAGATCTTGAGTACTGGAGTAATGAAATCTAGCCGTGGTGGTGCTATGTCTGGCAGCATTGATGTAGGCCTGGAGGTATCTACGGGTCTGGAGCATTCTCTCCTGAAAATATTTGGGAAAGAGATGAGTGATGACATCACGATGCTGAGGTTGGATAGCGAGGTAACACACTGTAGTCTGTTTTTGAGGAATGTAGAGAACCTGGGCTATCAATTCGGAGCTTTCACCATTCCACAGCTGGAGGGAATTAAAATCCGATTTTAGGTATTCTTCGAATAGGGGCGAAGGTTGGGAGTCGGTAGTACCCTTAGTGTAGGAGTCTATCAGAGCCATAAGGGGTTGTCGCTCCAATCTTTCTAGGACAGACATGTCTCTTTCAATTTTAATAGGAGCATCCGGGATAGGGTTGTTGGGGTCCTTAGTGCGAAAGTATCTCTTTTTTTGCCTAAAGGAAGTAAAGAAGGACTTAGCTTGAGTCTCTCTCAACATGACTACCTTCATGAAAGCTGAGGAGGTCGTCAATAGATGATTGGAGACTGACTGCACATCGTCTAAGGTAAGTTCTGCATCATAAAGTAAGTAACTCAAATTGTCATCAATGGATCTTTTGTTGGAAAAGGGGGGAGCTCCATGTATGATGACAGTTCTCTTGTGTAAATCAGATTCTATGGTTTGAAGAGTGACTTTGGAAACCATCGACTGGGTATGAAGGGATGTGAGCCTGGTGTCCAGATCCTGCTGGACCAATGCCTGCAAGTGTTGAAGAGCTGGGGACACTTGATTAGCATGGTATGTCTGGAAAGCCGATTGCAAATTCTCGGCTGAGACTGCGTCCAAAGTAGAAGACGAGGAGGGCATTGTAGCTCTAGGGGGTTCGGGGACTGGTGCAAATTTTCCTGCCGCTGGGTCTAAGCGGGCTTGTTTAGGAGGATGTCTTACATGTTTGAACGCCCTTAGGACCTCGGGGTCAGATCTGAGGCGTTGAGCTAATTGGGGGTCGATATCACCCCACTCGATAGCATCTTCTTCTGATTTCACACTTACTTTTTAGGCGAGACCAGTAATACCTGAAGCTAAGGAGAGGTCAGTAGTTCGGGCTTTGGTTTGGTGGGAGGAAATGAGGCTATCGTAAGTTGCTCTGTCTATCTCGGAAGTCGTAAACTGATTGACGAGGTTCAACTTACCGTTAGTGAGGGCTTGTAAACGTAAGTCGGGACCTATGGGGATTTCAGTTAGGAGCTGAGTGCCAGCGAGGCCCGGATCCTGTTGGATTGGGGGAACTGCTGGACCAGTCGGCACCGCAGGCGCTTCCATTTGGTCGGCAGCCACCGTATCATCGGCACCGGACATAGCGTAAGTAAGTCTTAACGAAAGTACTTGTCAAGTGCAAACAAAAACAGCTAAGGGCAACTGCGCGACTGCAAGCGGCAAAGTGTGTGGAAGAAAGAACGAGCTAACTCCCAGGGGCTCCCTCAAGGGGTGAGGGATTGGCTGCGCTCGAGCCTTGGACCCGGAAATAGTCCCTATATCCACCTATAGCCCCATGAAAAGGACCCTATTATTCGGGTCCTTGGACCCCTAGGGTATGTTTGGGATGTTTTGTGACGGTTCTCCGGCTGCAGCCCATGCAAAATGCCCCACAGAAAATGCAGAGCGGAGGTGGTTCCCGTTTATGGGTATGCTTGAGGATGTGGGAAATAGTTTTAGGGTTTAGGGTTTAGGATTCAGGGTTTAGGATTCAGGGTTTAGGTTCTAGGGCTCAGGGTTTAGGATTCAGGGTTTAGGGTTTAGGCTTAAGTCTACAATGTTTAGATGCAGCAGTCGTATTTTTTCATTTTGGGTTCACCAAACCCTACACAACCAAACCCGGAACCCGTATATCCTATGACCTTAAGTCCCAATCCCCCAAGCCGCACACCCCCGAACCCTGAAAACCACAAACCCCTAAACCCTAAGCCCTTAAATTCAAAAACGTGAAACTCCTAAACCCAAACTCCTCAACCCAAACCCCTACCCCCTACACCCTAAGTCCTTGATAGTTCGGAAAAACCTTCCAGAAAGAAAACTCTTGGGCCTGGTCTGGGGCGTAGGCGTTCAAGATTCATGATTCGGGGATTCGGGCTTAGGGTTTAAGACGCTAATGTTGATATGTTTAGGGTCTAATTCTAGGGCTTATGGTTTAGGATATCATGATTGACACGTTTAGGGTTTAGGGATGTAGGGTCTAAGATCGTGATACGTTTATGGTTTAGGGCTCCAGTTTACAGGATATATGACATAGGGTTCAAGGTTGCGCAGAATGCCCTGAATATCTGCAAGTCAGAATCGAAATAACCCTAAGCCCTAAACCCATAATTTCAAACCCCGAAGCCCAAAACCCAAACACGAAGCCCTGTAGACCCTAAGCAGGTAAACAAACTTCCAGAAGGAAGCTCCAGGTGTAAAACCTCAAACCGAATAGTTCGTGGGGGCTGGGGTTTAGGTTGAGCCTAAACCCTAAACCCCTAAACCCTTTAGGTTTTCAGGTGGAGGGTTTAGAGTCTAGGCCGCTGTGCCAAAGGTTCCCAGTTTCTGGGCTTCCCACCCAAGACTGCCCCCTTGGAGCCCAGCACATAGTCAGCAGAAACAGCTTAGAATTAGGGTCCCGAGGACTAAGCCCTAAACCCCAAAGCATGCGCAAAACTGTGGCCTCCCGGCAGACCTGGGGATAACGGACTGCTTGTCTTAAGATTCACGTCATGAGGTGGCTACTCATTTATAAGTGGGTTTAGTTAGGGTTTAGGTTTTAGAATGAGCCCAGGCTGGGACCTGGCTTGCCGCACTGAGGCCCCAGTCTTGTGCTTGAATTATAGTAGGTGTAAACGTTAAAACACAAGACTAGAGACCCTAAAAACACTACATGCCAAGACTGGGGGGCGTAACTTTCTGAAACCTCAGCCCGAAAACATAAAACCCCAAGCCCTAAACCCTAAAGCCCAAACCCCAAACGCTAAGCCCTATAAACCCCAAGCCCCAAGCCGCATAGCGGAGAGGCCTCTCTGTACGAGATGGTGGCGCCTGCATGCCTTGTGCAAGTCGTCTCAATTTCGGCAGGGTTTGGGATTTAGGATTTAGGGTTGATTGCCGGTACTTATAGAAAATGAGAAATGGGACCCTAAGTATGTTTAATCTTTTTCTCCTTTTGAGGGTTTAGAGTGTAGGATTTAGGTTTAGAGTTTGCTTATAGGAGGTGAGATGCCGTCATAGGTGTCTATTGGGCTCCCGCGGAGTATTGTCGAGTGTATATATTCATTTAAAGCTGGGCAGGCCGCGCATTACCGACCAAATGCATGGTCTATAGTCCGCCTTAAATAGAAAGAATATGGCCTTGGGTATATTATAATAAGATCCCCATATACCCCATATTCTATCTACTTAAGGGGGACTATAGGCTTCAGTAATTGGGGTGCAGAATTTAGGGTTCGCGGATTATGAAGGAGACTGCGACTAGCTGAGTTTTAAACTGTCAGGTCCTAAACCCCAAGCCTCAAAACCCTGAATGCTGATCAATACCCCGGCACCTCTAACCCCAACTGACCCTAAACCCTCTAAACCCCAACGGCAAGCAGCCTCGGCCCCCAACATCTGAACAACCAAAAGCCACCAGCCCCAGACGGTCGAGGGTTTAGGATTCAGCGCACTGCTTGCAAAGCCTCATAACGGGGTAAGCGTAAGCAGAGGGGTCGTGGTTTAGGTTTTGGGGTGTAGGGTTTGTGTTCTAGGGTTGCTAAGAAACATGAAACAAACCCTAGACCCTAAACTCCCCCTTAGGAATGCAAAAGCCGACAGTCCTGTAAGAATACATGTGCCCATCAGTATGTAGTGGTATTATAATGTATTATATACATATATACATTGTGAACATTCATTTTCCAGAATCGCATGTGCTTTTCTTCTAGGGGGAGTGGATTCACTTGCCAGATTTAGAGCCTAGGATGCGGTATGAAGAGCTACACGAAGCTTCCTTAGGTCGTCGCTTCATTACAAGTGGAGCTCTTCAGCGGCAACCCTCCCAAAACCCTGAACCTACACTCTACAGCCTGAAGCCTCAACCCTCAACGGCAAATCCTGAACCCTAAAGCCTAAACCCTAAACCCTCAATCCTAAGCCCTAGGCCTAGGCTACTCGGGATCTAGATGAGAACCTCATCCCTAAGCCCTAATTGTTAGAGACGTAATCCAGAAACCTCAAACCTTAAATCATTTGGATGACGTCCCCCCGAGGATCCTATCGCCGCTTCTAGCAGGGACCTTCTTCGGGGTGCAGGTTGCCAGGGGCTGCGTTTGGGTTTTAGGGTCTAGGGTTTAGGGCTTGGGGATTTGGGCCGTAGGGTTTAGGGTTTCGGGATTACAGTGGAGGGTTTAGGGATCGAGGCGGCAAGAATGGAGAATCAAAAGGAACTGAAAACATAAAACCAAATCGAAACTGGGATTGCCTAATGGGCTTGGAATTAGAGATGTAATTCATGCAATTATGAAGTAGGGTTTTCATTATTGTTCTGCTGCGTGTATATTGGCTGCTCGAGGGGAATTGGTGAGTGTATATATGTATTTGATGTACAATTTGGGGGACCATAATTACAAAGACAGGTAGCCCAAATTATTTGGGTTTCTACATTCGGCAATCTGATTACCAACATTATGATCCCCAGTTCCTTGTACAATTATGATATTCGCCCGCCCATCCAGCCATCATGTTAAAATCAGCCCACCCCAGCCCTCCTGCTGGTCCCGATCGGGAGAAATATATGAACATATGATGTTCTTTCCACTTGGCTTGGTGTTTTAGGGTCGAAGGTCCTGTTCTCTGTCTCTGTAGTTTAGCAGCCGAAAATGACTCAAATTCAGGTTCCGATTGTGCACAGTTGGGGTCCCATTTTGGCTTCATTGGGGCCAGGAGGGGTTAAACATCCAAGGCTTTGCTTTTCACACCGACCCCGACAGCAGGGCGGTGGCGGCATGGAACGGGTTGTTCTGGGGCAGCAGGCATTTGATTCGACTGTTGTGTGAGCAGGATGGGTTGGAGGTGGGCACGTGCGTGGGTAGCGGGGGAGGGGGAGGGGGAGAGATTGGCGGAAGGCCTTAAACTGAGGACAGATTAAGGCTTGAAAGGTTGTTGAGGCTTTGCTGCGCCTGGGAGGTTCCTGGGAGATGCATGGAGGAAGATGGGGACAGTTGGGGGAGAAGAAGTCTGAAGCAACAGAAGAGTTTCAACAGAAACCCTAAACCCTAAACCCTAAACCCAATAGAAAATTGGGGTTTGGGGGTGAGGGGCAAGTTGGGCTTCACGCGTTCGCCCCCTCGAGCCATAGCGACCTCACGCAACATGAAATAGTGTTTTTATTGCTTTAGGGTTTAGGGTGTAGGGAAATACTGCTGTATTGGAGTAGTTTCAGAGTTTGAACCATCATAAGATCAGGAGTAGGATCCGAAACACAGGGGCACCCATTTTTGAGACATCATCCCTTGAAACCCCAACCGGCATATCAAAAAGATTCGCTGCTGTGGGTTAATTGTTCATCGTTTGCAAGCAGGCTGCAAACACTCTCTAGCTGTTAGTAAGGAATCCAGGATGGATACCTGCAGTAGCCCTATATAATATAATCCCAAGCAATACAGTAGTTGCCATTTTCCTTCCCATTCCTTGGATGGAACCTACCTACAGTAAGCCCTAAGCGCTCAGCATGTGGTTTCTTTTCTTCTGTTTGCTTTCGTTTTCTTCTCCACTCAAGATTTGGCTTCGTTTTCTTCTCTGCTCCTTCATTCCCTGCTAACAACTAGTAAGATAAGGCCAGAGTTTCGTGCATATGTAATACAAGGTTTGGGGCATGGAGCTTTGTGTCTCGGGGTTGGGGTTCAGGCCTTAGGGTTTACAGTTGGTGGGTTTAGGGCTTTGAGTTTGGGATTCCAGGGTTTAGGGTTTAGGTAGAGAACTTCCTTCACACCAAGGGCCAACATTAGTTTCCAAAAGTGAGTGGGTGTCCCTTTCCAGAACCCGGTTGTAAATCCAGGGTCGTACAAGTAGGCCATTCCAGTCGGAACTGCCGTGTTCACAGGTCCACAGCCGCATCTCCGAAAGCCGATGCGTGCTTCAGAATCGTCGTCAAATTTTCCCTGGTGCGTGCTAAAGGTGGTATCATACACGTCTATGATATATCTGTATGATATACACAGGCGCCATACGCAGACACTTGTGCCAACAAAGACTATGCTGATGCAATTTAGAACCCTTGGGATATGGTATTTTCAAGAACTTCTTGAAACCAATTGCAACGCGGAATGACTTTGCCCAAATTGTGAGATGCAGCATGATGAAAAACCGATGCAGGTCTAACGGGAAAAAGCAGGCCCCTCACAACAGGGCTGCGCTTAGAAGGACAATAAGCAGTTGTTTAGTTGCCCCAACCCCTAACTTGGGACCATATCATCGTCATGGGATCTTTACACGTAGGGCCGAAACCATCATCAAAGCTCCAAGGCCTCAAACGTCGTAGGGCCCCAAACCCTAAACCCTAAAACCTATCCCCTAAACCCTGAACCCTATATGGAGGTCTGAATATGACCCCTTGAACTTCAAAACCACAGCCTTTGTAGGCCGTCTTTGGGCTTCGCACTGGCTCACTGGGCTTTTCCGTAAACCTTACTATAAGCCCCAAACCTTAAACCATGAACCCTTGTATAAAAGGACTTTAATGGGAACCCCAAACAGGGAACCCCACGAACATAGTGGGAATATAATTGAGTATAAGGACCCTGGTAGGTGTATTCCTATTATATTTCTACTATATTCTTAAAGTTCCTTGTTTGGGGTTCCCATTACAGTCCCTTTCTTGTAGGCCGTCTTCGGGCTTCTCACTGGCTCCCTGGGCTCTTCCGTGCAGCTCGCGATCTCCATGTCCAACTCGGGCGGCGCCTGGGACAACT